CCCCTCCACTCCTGCCCCTGCCCCGTGCTGCCCAAGCCACCCCTCCACTCCTGCCCCTGCATGCAACATGACAGTTTTTTACTTGCATTCTGTGACATAACCACCCCCCATCCCACTCACCCCATTCCCCTCCTGCTTCCCCACCCCCTCCCTTTCCCCCTCTGTTAGCGTGCGGGCGCACTGTCAGAATGTGATGTTTGTCTAGCCTGCAGTGGGGTACTCCATAGCGAGTACAGCCCAAATTAGGGTTTGCTATATGTACTCAACTGCCTGCTAGTGAAAATCCCTCTTTCCTGATTCTCGTTTTTGCCTAGCCTTTTCGACATGCTATCAGAGCAGGTCGACCCTCCTGGGTCGATCCTGTGGGTGGTCCCGCCCGATGCTTCCGCTGCTGTTCTGCCTATCGCACGCCCTGGGTGTGCGATGTCGTTTGCCTGTCGCGCGCTCAGGGCGCGCGGCGTTTTTTCTTCCCGCCGCGCGCTCGGGGCGCGCGGCGGTTTTCTGCCCCATCGACCCGCGCGTCGCTCCCCAGGAGCCCGTCGCGTTGCCCCGCAGGCCCGCGCGTCGCCCCCGCTACCCCGTCGCGACGCCCTGGGGAGTCGTGCGCGACCCCCCGCTACCCCGTCGCGACGCCCTGGGGAGCCGCGCGCCTGCCCCCGTCGACCCGCGCGCCCGTCCCCGTCGACCCGCGCGCCCCTCCCGTCAAGCCGCGCGCCATCCCCCGAGCTGCTGCCCGCGCACCGCCCCCCCGCTGCTGCCTGTGTTGGGGTTTGGGGGTGGAGAGTGTGGGGGTGGCGAGTATGGGGGTGCCGTGTGTGTGAGCCGTCCCCTGCTCCTCCTCCTCCTCCGTCTCCCACTGCTGCAGCTACCGCTGAGGGGGGTGGATGTGTTGGAGCCGTCGGAGTGGTACGAGGGGGGTGGCGTGTGAGCAGTGCTAGAGGTGCAGCAGGGGGTGTGTGAAAGGGGTGTGGGACAGCTGGGGGAAGTTGAGTGGAGGCAGCCGTCTTGTCGTCCGCAGCGCCTGTAGTCCAGAGAGCCAGCTGCGTCTGTGGCCTGAGTAGTCCGGGTATAGCCTGGTAGCCACAGTGTGAGCACTCCTGGTAGTCCAGAGAGCCAGCTGCGTCTGTGGCCTGAGTAGTCCGGGTATAGCCTGGTAGCCACAGTGTGAGCACTCCTGGGAGCACAGAGATTCAGCTGCGTCTATCGCCGTGTAGTCCGTGGCTCTGCGCCTGGTAGCGACAGGGCTTCGCACTCCAGTTGCCCGTGTGTCTGCAGCTTCAGCCGTCGCCTCCCATCTTCTCGCCCCCACAGTTTCTCCTCCTCCTCACTTGCCCTCTGTGACTGCCTCTAGCTTTGCTTATCATTGTGAACTATTGCTCTGCCTGCTTGTTGTGCTGATTGTACCCCACTTTGACTATGGGGGTGTGTCAGAATGTGATGTTTGTCTAGCCTGTAGTGGGGTACTCCCTAGCGAGTACAGCCCGAATTAGGGTTTGCTATATGTACTCAACTGCCTGCTAGTGAAAATCCCTCTTTCCTGTTTCTCGTTTTTGCCTAGCCTTTTCGACACGCACGACGGTGACGATCCAGTTGCAGCTGCTGGGGCCATACAACACCATCTTCAACATTACGTTCTACAATGGCTGCAACTTCACCGTGCTCAGCGCACTGCGCGTGTGGCAGTGCTTCGAGTTCAACAACGTGTGGGAGGGCATCCTCGCCAACACTGCGCCCAACCCCAACATCTAGCAGACATGCGACATCTTTGGGGTGGTGCCCAACAAGCCGGGGTACTGCGACCTCATGATGAACCGCGGGCCCGCGGGGAACATCCAGATGTACCGCGGGGAGACGGTTCACGTGCTCTATGCATGGACTTATCCCTTCTGCCCCTGCGTGTACGAGCTGCACTTCAGCAACGGCAACAAATTCGTCATGACCACTCCTAGCACCGAGTGTCAGGTCGCCCCGCAGATCTAAGCGCGTTGCACCAGCTTCTTCACGAAGATGCCTCAACCTCTCCCTAGGAGATGTTTTCGTCTAATTCGGTTTAGGCTGTTTGAATATTAGAAGGCTTAAGCGGCTTGAGGTGCTTGAGGAGGGTTGTAGAGAGGAATGTGCTTGTGGGAATGGCGGGAAAAGGTTGTGACGTTGCTGGAGTGAATCGGTGATGGGAGGTGGCGGGTGTTACGAATAGTAACATTTAATTGTTACTGAGCACTCCTCACCGCAGCAAAGAGAAGCACGCAGTATCGAAGCAAGAAAGCGAACCGTCAGACGGTTGGAGTTTGACTCGAAGTGTCAGACAGTTGGGGCGCATCTGGACCGTCGGAAGCAGACGGCATCGGACAGCTGCAGGCAGGATGTTTTGGCGGGAACAGTTACGAAACTGTACGCGCCGCACGGTTGAGAATGCGTTTGAATAAGGGAATGTACCCCTTAGAGTACATGGCTAGCTAGGTCGCTTCGTATTCCCCTGTACTCATATTTATACTTGCTGTATTTGCATGTTTTAATCATCTCAAGCATTTTACATTCACTCTGCTATTGAGGTCACGGGCCCACCAACTACATTTCCCTGTGTGCGAACCTTCCCGAGTAGATCCTGGTAAGCGATCATTCTCTGATCGTAGCAGCGGGGAACCGATGTTTGAGGGAAATAAGCATGCACTTGTGCATAAATGTGACGCATGGTGATATCCAGTAATTGCTTGTCCATGTAACTCCGTTCAGTAATTTCGTACATGTTGTAAGGATGCTTGAGGGGCTCGGAGAAGTGTGAGGAGGAATGATCTTATAGGGGAAGATGAAAAAGTATCTGATGTTGCCAGAGGGATTTGGTGATAGGCATTGTGAGAGGTGGTGGCGAGTAGTAGAGCTGCTGTGCAAAAGTATGGTGATATCTTGTGATTGCTCATATGATACATGTTATTTCACGTATTCTTCTCTACTCATGCATGTGGGTGAGAATGCGCCCGTATAGCGGGAACTTTTTGCTCAACGGTAATGTTGGCGGGGTCTGCACCTCATTCTTTCGCGGTTTCCATTTTCCATGTCACTGGTTTCGCGAGCCCCTGGCGACTCCTTGTCGTGGGCCACGTGGTGTACACCACATCACGCGACGGTCGGATTGTAGAGGGTAGAACGTGCTGGCGAATATGGCAATTGCGTGCGACACTTCGAAAAGGGTTACTTTCGCTGTGACCAATCGCTGGTTTGGGTTTGCAGATACTGCAGTCAACAACTCATCGGAAATTCGTCGACCGTGTACGTGGTCCGTGCTTGCAAGCTACGTATACCTGTTGTGTTTCTCTCGAGCAGGCAGCAACACGTAACTTGTCGAATAGAAACAGGCTAAACTGCTTCAAACTCGGTGAAACTAGTACTCGTAAGTCATGGAAGAGCACGCAAAAATTCCGAACTACGCGACGCCGATAGATGTCCGCCTTCGCTGGTTCTTAGAATTGTGTTTATTTTGAACCTTTCGTACTTCTTTTCAATTCTTCTAGAGACTTTTGAGAGGCTTCTATAGTCGCAAAGTCGAGATACCATCTCGTCTACTAGCTCTTAAACCTTTTCTCCTGTTTAGTCCTTTAGTGCCTCAGCGTTCCCGACCGAGATCGCAGCATGGCGAACCAAACGGCTACGAGAAACGCAGGTGCGGTTACAGAAACAGAGCAAAGAGGCAACGAGCTCCTGTCGTGCTTTTAGAGTAGACGCAATGATGAAACAGGTCACTAGGAACGCTGCCGGGGCTGCATCTGATCGTTTGCGCTCTTTTGCGTGCGCATCTGTTGCGATGGTGTCGAGTCGAATCCTCAGTGCCTCAACAGGGAGGCGATTGAGACTCGAGAAGTCAATTCAAAAGCCACCTCGTGTGCGTCATCCGTTGAGATGGCCGCGTCAACTCAAAGAACCCTAGTGGCTCAACGGGGAGGCTTCCAAGGCATCAGTCAACCCAGCACACTTGCTCTCAAAATCCAACTTGGTTGCTCTCTGCCTGTGCCTGTGCCTGTGCCTGTGCCTGTGCCTGAGCCTGAGCCTGTGCCTGTGCCTGTGCCTGAGCCTGAGCCTGTGCCTGTGCCTTGCCTGCTCTCCGATCTTGTGCCTTCCAACCCTTGTATCAAGACATCTCTCATTCTCATGAACCGTCCAACCCCCACAAACCTTTGCTTTCGCTTTCATTTGTGATTATATCAATCGGCAGCTGCCTTTTTCGAAGAGGACGGGAAGCCGTCAGAGAATGGGAGAGCCATTGTGGAGTGGCCTCGCGTGAGCCCTCCGCTACTCGCGGTGCTCAACGCGCTGCTGCTGGCGCTCGTAGTGGTCGAGGTGTGGCCGCAATTCGCGGGCGACGGGCCCACGTGGGGAACACGCGCCACGTGGGGTATGCAGCAGCCAATAGAAGCGCTGCTGGCCTCGCCCGGTGTAGCAAGAGGACATAACGACGCCAACAGGTTTGTAATCCCTTTCAGTTTGAGCGAGTCATGCATGACCCGGATTTCCCTTGAGCGTGAAACCGTTCAATTCCCTGTTGATTCTTGTGTTAGCTCGTAGCTCCACCAGGTCTGTAACCGTGTTGGTCCACTCAGTAACTTGTTGCTAGAATCCATTCCGCGCCAGCCCCTATTCCTCCCCCATGCGCGCATCCCGTCCCCATGCGCGCACTCCGTTCCCCCATGCGCGCATTCCGTCCCCATATGCGCATTCTGCCCCCATGCGCGCATTCTGTCCCCAATTCGTCCCCGTGCGCGCATCTCCAGTCCATTCCGCCTCATCGCAAGGCAAATACCAAAAACCATATCTACTCCCTTTCTGTCTCATCTGTACTAAACTGTCACCCATTTCCCCCCTCCTCTTCCAACCCGCCCCTCTCCCGCGCCCCTCCTCTGCGCCCTTCCCTCGCGCCCCTCCTCCGCGCCCCTCCTCCGCGCCCCTTCTTCCGCGTCCATCTCTCCTCGTGCCGCTCACCCCGCGGGCCCCTTCCATTGCGTTGGCAGTAGCGCCACACGAGCACCGTCACAAGCTGCAGGCCGTCCATTCCACGCCCGAGAACAGGACATTTGCTGGTCATCAGGTATTATGTTCCCTCATCTGCCTTTTGAGCCGACTATAAAGTCACCTCGGCGACTCAAAAGTCCCTTAGCCAACGTAAAAGTCAACCCCTCCATTCGAAGCCACCCTAGCACGGGGCATATGCTGGTCATCAGGTACTATGTGCTTTCCCTCATCTGCCTTTTGTATTTGCTCACTCGCTCTCTTGGATGCATGCCTTCTTTTCTCACTCGCTCGCTCGACTCAAAGCACGCCTTCATGCGTCCACTCGCTCGACTCAAAGCACGCCTTCATGCGTCCACGAGCTCGACTCAAAGCACGCCTTCATGCGTCCACGAGCTCGACTCAAAGCACGCCTTCATGCGTCCACGAGCTCGACTCAAAGCACGCCTTCATGCGTCCACGAGCTCGACTCAAAGCACGCCTTCATGCGTCCACGAGCTCGACTCAAAGCACGCCTTCATGCGTCCACGAGCTCGACTCAAAGCACGCCTTCATGTGTCCACGAGCTCGACTCAAAGCACGCCTTCATGCGTCCACGAGCTCGACTCAAAGCACGCCTTCATGTGTCCACGAGCTCGACTCAAAGCACGCCTTCATGCGTCCACGAGCTCGACTCAAAGCACGCCTTCATGTGTCCACGAGCTCGACTCAAAGCACGCCTTCATGCGTCCACGAGCTCGACTCAAAGCACGCCTTCATGCGTCCACGAGCTCGACTCAAAGCACGCCTTCATGCGTCCACGAGCTCGACTCAAAGCACGCCTTCATGTGTCCACGAGCTCGACTCAAAGCACGCCTTCATGCGTCCACGAGCTCGACTCAAAGCACGCCTTCATGCGTCCACGAGCTCGACTCAAAGCACGCCTTCATGCGTCCACGAGCTCGACTCAAAGCACGCCTTCATGTGTCCACGAGCTTTCTCTGGTGCATCTGCATTGCTGCCTGCTCCCCTCGCTCGCTCTCGCGTTGCTAGTTAAGATAGTGCGTCGAGGGCTAGAGGCAGTGCGAGGAGGGCTAGAGGCAGTGCGAGGAGGGCTAGAGGCAGTGCGAGGGGCAGAGACAGTGCGAGGAGGCAAAGGCAGTGAGAAAGCAAGCAAGTGACTCATCGACACCCTTTTTTCCCCTTTTGGCCCGAATCCCTCACAGAACCCGTGGTTACCAGCAGCATACGACCACCACCTGCAGCAGCAGTAGCAGCAACAGGAGAAGCAGCAGAAGCAGCAGCAGCAGCAGCAGCAGCAGGAACGGGTGGGGTGGTGGTGGGCGGCAGGGGGTGCAGCCGCTGCGTGCGGGGCGAGCAGTGCAGCTTTCACGTGTGGGTGCGCCCGCCTGCTCACTGGGTGCTGCCCCCTGTGGCTCCTGCGAGCAGTGAAAGGGAAAACGGTGGAGAGGGGGGGAATGGCGGAGAGGCGGAGAGCAGCGGCGGCAGCGTTGAGCGCAGGTGGTGGAAGAAGGACGTGACGCTGTCTCTGCTGGGCCCCGCCCTGGGCCATGGGGAGGTGCAGTGCCTCGACCCCCCTGCCTGCTCGCAACTGCTCGTCTCCTATCGCCTGTGGGATGTGGGGACTTACAGGTGAGAGCCCAGCTAGTGGAAGAATGACTGTGTTTTCTCCCTAATGGGCCCCGCCCTGGGCCATGGGGAGGTGCAGTGCCTCGACCCCCCTGCCTGCTCGCACCTCCTCGTCTCCTATCGCCTGTGGGATGCAGGGACTTGCAGGTGAGAGCCCAGCGACCACTTGCATGCACTGCTGGTGGATCAAAGCCACAGGTGGTGGGCCCAGCACAGGCACGCACTGGTGGGCCCAGCACAGGCACGCACTGGTGGAGCAAGCACCTTCTCGTCTTCTTTGGTCTCTGGGGATCTACAGGAGTGAGTGGGACGGACACCATTCTCTGCCTTGATCAGCTCAGCCATGCTCCAGCCATTGCTGCCCACGTGCTGCCCACGTGCTGCTCCAGGTCTCCACCTGCCTCACCCTTTGCCTGGCCTGTCTGTGCTTCTGCACCACTTGCTGTCGATGCCCCCCTACCCCTCCTCCTACTCCTCCTCTCCCCCTCCATCCCCCCTCTTCCTCTTCCTCCTCCACTGCCTCCTCTCACTCACACTCCCCCCTTCTCTCACATTCTCTGCTGTTCCCCTTCCCCCCCTTTGCCTCACCTCTTTTCCCCTCCCCATGCTCCCCCCGCACTCCCACATGCCCGTCTGTCCCCGTCCCCCTCCCCACTGCAGTGCAACACTCCATGTGGGTTGCGCCAATCTCAACTTCTCGCTGGCCTTTGCCGCCCACTTCAACTCCACCTACCGCCATGACCTTGCCACGTGGAGCCTCTCCATTGGCTGGCCAGAATCCGCTTCCGAGAAGATTCATGGCTCTGCAGGTGTTCCTGCAACTGCTGTTGATGCTGCTGCGCCTGCTGCTGGTGGTGTCAATGCTGGTAGCAATGGCGGTGTTGATGCTGGGAATAGTGGCGATGCTGCTTATTCCAGAGGTGCAGATGCTTCTGATTCGAGTGGTGCAGCTGGAGCTGCTGATAATGATGATGATGATGGTGGTGACAGTGCTGCCAGGTCATCGTCAGACGATAGGGTGCTTCTGGATGACGTGGCAGCTGGTGATGAGGCACTTGGAGAAGGCGATACCACCTTCCCAGATACCACCTTCCCAGATACCACCTCTACAGATACCACCTCCCCAGATACCACCTCTACAGATACCACCTTCCCAGATACCACCTCTACAGATACCACCTCCCCAGATACTACCTCTACAGATACCACCTTCCCAGGTACCACCTCTACAGATACCACCTCCCCAGATACCACCTCTACAGATACCACCTTCCCAGATACCACCTCTACAGATACCACCTTCCCAGATACCACCTCGACAGATACCACCTTCCCAGATACCACCTCTACAGATACCACCTCCCCAAATGCTGCCTCTCCCAGCCGGCAACCCTCTCCCTGTGCACACTCCATCCCCGGTCGGTGGATGAAGGGACGCAGCGGCAAGTACATGTGAGTCGCCTCCTGCGCCCCCGGCGTCCCCCCTCTCCCCCTCATGTGCCCACGCCATGTCTCCTGTGCAATCATCTGGTCAGTCCACCAGCAAATGCACGGCTGGGATTGTGCTTTCTGCTGCATCCCTGGGTGGTGGGAGAAGACACGCAGCAGCAAGGCAAGTACATGTGCGTACGTGTTCCCCCTCCCCCACCTTGTGACCTTGCTGCCTGACGAATCCCTTGCACCCTCCCTCCCTGACTTCTCTCACCACCCGTTACTCCATCGCTTTCCCCTTTCTCTCCCGTACCGCTGCAGCTGGGCCTTCTTCCCCTGCGCACCATCAGAGTCGCCTCCCAGCCGTTGGATAGAGCAGCTGGCAAGCAGGGGCATCCGTGAGATCAACATAGTGGGCGATTCCCATCAGAGGGTGCTGGCGCTGCACCTGCACTGGCTGCTGTCGGGGGAGGCGGACAAGCGGATCCGCAAGGGGCATTTAGACTTCAGCAAGGAGTCGAGGAATGAGCGGAACGAGTCGATGCGGATTAATTTCTACTGGGTGGATGGGATTTACCGGAATGATGAGTTTGGATGCAGGTGCGTGGCGCTGGGTGGATGGGAGGGAGGGTTGTCGGGTGAAACGAGGGAGGAATAGGTGGAGGAATGAGGCGATGAGAATCAACGTCTACTGGGTGGATGGGATTTATCGGGATGATGAGTTCGGGTGCAGGTGCGTTTGGTTACTGGGCGGGAGGGAGGGTGAGGGAGGGAGGTGTGTTTTGAGTAATGCTATCTCAACCTCCCCCCCCTCGCCCCGCCCCCCTTCTCTCTGCTCTCCCTGCGCCCCCACTCAAAACCCCTCTATAAACCGCAGTCACCGGGGAGTCTACACTCATCGCAACACCACGTTCCCAACCAACTTGTCCACCACAGCTGACGTCACCCTTCTAGAAGCAGGCTACTGGATGAACAAGTGGTGCACAGAGCCAGTCCAAGCCATGCGAGCCCACCTCCCAGAGTACCTCAATTGGGGATTGCAGTTCGCCGGCCAAACCGGGAAGCCAATAGTGTTGCGCACGGCGCCTCCAGTGCCGAATGGGGGCGACCATTGTTTCGTGGGGTCGTATCCCGGGCCGGCTACGAACCTGGTACTTATGGAGATCAATCGGTTGATGCGTCAACTTACAGTGGGTGGTAAGGTATATGGTGGTGGTGCTTATGGGTTAGGCAAGAAAAGAGCAGATAGCGCAAATCAAACAGGTTACAGTGAAGCTGATGCGGACCCAGCTGAGCCATGGGACGGCGCGTCAATATCGAGGGCCTTTACTGTGGATGGGAAGTGGCAGGCGTCAACGATACCGGTGTTTGATTCGTGGAAGATCGAGGCGCCTCGGTACATGGACGTGTGTCCAAAAAAGGATCACCACTATTCATGCTATCGAGAATTTGCGAACAGAAAAGCAGAGATTCGAGGTATAGTAGGGGAGGCTGTTGCGCGTGCCTTGGTGCACTTCCTACTCCACAACCTGTAAATTTCTATTTCATTCATTGTATCCCATCATTCTCACATGTAAGGAAATTTTCCTACTCCTTACTGGGGTTACCCGACATTTCGGACTTAGGCCTACATTTCCGATGCCGAGGTTGCCCCACATCGCCTTCGGCTTTACGCTCGCCAAACCTGCACCCAACCTCGTTTTCCCGAGGTTCCCTCCTAACTAGGGTATTCACTATATAGTTACGTGCCTTCGTTGTATTGTCAATTCATTTGTTGGGTTGAGAAAAAGCCCTTAGGATCTTTGCAGGACTAAATTGAAATTCCTGGTAGGAATGATGTAATAGCGGAAGCGTTTAATGAAGATTGTTGAACCACCTTGCGCTAGTATGTGAGGGCAAAGTAGATTGATTAAAACAAGGAGATACAAGATTTTATATGAGTACAAGGAATATGAAGAGATACAGTTAATAACTGTTATACTGTTGCTGTTGCGGTTCGATACAGTGACGACTCGGGCAACCGCTCAATAACGAGTCGGTTGTGTGTCCTTGCTGTCGTACTGTACTTGTCAGGTCAAAGGTCGCTGACCTTTGACTTTCGCGTAACCTCCAGCGGTTGCTCGTGCATGTCAACCTCCGATGGTTGACTCGCCGTTGCTGCGCTGTTGCTTGCCTCGTTTACGAATCAGTGTTTCGACACGACAGAGGCGCTTTAAATCATTTGTTTCCAACATCATTGAGTCATATCCTCCAGGGTTGTCGCTAGGATTTGAGGGGGCCTGATGGATCAGACGGGCCCTTCGGGCCCGTCTGATCCATCACATTCTGTTTTTTATCGTGTCTGATGTATCAGATATTTTCGAAATTCATGTCTGACGCAATTGATTCGGACTTGACCAGTCACAGCAGAATCACCCCCTCACAGCAAATTCGGCCCGTCACAGCAGATTCGCCGTCACCCTGACACAGCAGATTCGCCGTCACCCTGACACAGCAGATTCGCACCGTCATAACAATTTCGCCCCTGACATAGCAGATTCGCCCCCTGACACTAACAGATTCGCCCCCTGACACTAACAGATTCGCCCTGACACTACCAGATTCGCCTCCTGACGCATCAGATTCGCCCATTCACAACTCGAATCCCATATTCACCCCTACATAATTGGATTCGGTATCAGATGAAACCAAAACAAGAACCTGATTGATCAGATAAACTCAAAAACTACTCCTTATCAAAAACCAATTTCTGAAAAATCAGATGAACTTAAAAAACTCGATCTGAAGATAAGGCATGTCAGAATCCCAGCCACTAACCACTGGGATAAAAGGGCTTGTTTGTGTAGCGGGTGAGTGCGCCCATAACCCCCCAGGCCGCCGTGCCTGTAACCCTTCCCTAGGATCAATCGGGGATCACCAGTGGACCTCTGACACCCCCCCGCACTGGGATGCCCGAGGTGCACACACCGGGATTCGAACCCGAGACCTTCGCTCTGATAACATGTCAGAATCCCAGCCACTAACCACTGGGATAAAAGGGCTTGTTTGTGTAGCGGGTGAGTGCGCCCATAACCCCCCAGGCCAACGTGCCTGTAACCCTTCCCTAGGATCAATCGGGGATCACAAGTGGACCTCTGACAAGGCAAACAGACAAAAAATTTCTGCTAGCGACGACCCTGATATCCTCCTTACTCGTTATTCTGCGCACTTCCTTTTACAACTCATAACACCTACCGTATGGCCCCGGGTACAGGGCCTATTTTTGGTTTTGGGGCATTCTTGGGAATAAGGGTGCGTTGATGACGTCACCCTGCCTATCAGGGTATTTTTTCTTCCACCTTGTCAAAATCAGGGTAAACTTTTGAGTACCCTAATTTGCAACGAAAATGGGGAAATTGGGGCTGGGAGTGGAGAGCGAATTGTGGAGAGGGGCTGGGAGAGGAGAGGGAAACGGGGGGGGGGTCGAGCGGGGAGTGGCGAGGGCTATGAGATAAATGGGGCTCGGCGGTTGGGAGAAGTGCGGGGAATGGGGAGAATCGTGCTGAAGGTGCTAGGAAATTGGGTAGAGTGGGGCTAGGAGAGGCGAAGGTACTCTGATTCGTAAGGGTACAAATCAGCGCACGCTGACTTTGACAGGGTAGAAAAAACTCTACACTTTTGGAAAAAGGGTACAAAATCACTTACCCTTTAAAAGTCAGGGTAGTAATAAAAAAAAAGGATTTCAGAAAGGGCAATCAGGGTATTTTACCATTGAAAAAAGCCCCTGCCCGGATATAGGCGCCGCCCGATTAATGGCGCCGACGCTTCTATCTGGAGCATGACGCTTATGGCCGGAACTCGATTGTAAGTGTCAGAAACTACAGGCAGGAATGAATGAACTAGCAGCATGATGGGTACAAGAATAAAACCCTTAAGGGGCTATACCCCATATCAGCTACCCCACTACAGCCTACACATATAGAATGTATATATAATTTGACACACCCCCATAGGCAAAGTGGGGGAGAACAACGGGTTACAAGACTAGTCAAGAAGAGCAAAGTAAGCTCAGGGTGGATCACAACGTCACCATACACACACTCTAAGCACAAGCAAAGGGCCACAAGGCCAGTTCACATGTAGAGGTATATATGCAACAATAACAGCACAGTGATCACTACCTAGCAAGAGCAAGCATGCAGGTATACAAAAAGATAACAGTACAAGCAAAGTCTACAGCAAGTGTGGAAACGTAGGCACAAGGCCTAACAAAGTACAAAAACGCTGATGATCACCAGACGGAAGTGCCTTGGTGAATATATCAGCGGTGTTGGCCCGCGTGGCCACGCGAGCAAGACGAAACTGACCACGCTGCTGCAACTCTCGAGCAAGGAAGTAACGCAGAGCGATGTGCTTCGTTTTGTGCTCCAGTCTGTGCTCCTCACACAATGCAATGGCGGCCTTGATGTCGACGTACAGAACTAGAGGAGAACGAGGCCTCTCTCCCAAGTTAGTCAGCAGGTAGGTGAGCCAGCGTAACTCCTATGCAGCCATGGCTGTGGCGTAGATCTCAGCCTCACAACTGGAGCCGAGAACAGAAGACGAGCGAGTAGACCGCCAAGAAACAGAGCCGGAGCCAAGGCTGAAAGTGTAACCCTGTGACGACCGCTGCGTAGCCTGGTCGTCAACCCAAGAAGCGTCTGAGTGCCTAGTGAGGACAACCTCACTCCGCCCTCCAAGCACGAGCCCCATGCCCGATGTATTGCACAAGTAGCGCAGTACCCTCTTCGCAGCATCCATGTGCACCTTTCGGTGCCGACCAGGAGCCACGTAGCGTGCCAGAAGGCCAAGAGGGTACGCAAGGTCAGGACGAGTGCAGGTCATCAGGTATATGAGGCAGCCCACTAGCTCTGGGTAAGGACCACTCGGCTCTACGGACTTGTCCGAAGGTGGAGCTGAGAGCGAGTGACCTATAGCCAGAGGAGTGGACTGTGGGGAGGACCAGGTGAAGCCGAAGCACTGAAGGACCTGCTACACCATGTGTGACTGAGTCAGTGTGATGGTGCGACGTGCTCTGTCCCGGGTGATCTGCAAGCCAAGGTAACTGCGCAGCTCACCCAGGTCTGTGCACGTGTGTCTCTTCTGCAGCTCCGACTTCACCTGAGCGAGAGCCTCAGTGTCAGCAGTGGCAAAAACCAAGTTGTCGACGTACACGAGGATGTAGAACGGCGGCAACGAAGTGTCGGTGCGCAGAAACAGCGACGGGTCAGCTGTCGAAGGAGCAAACCCAAGTGCCGCAAGTGTAGTCCTCAGTGTGTCGTGCCACTCACGAGGTGCCTGGCGGAGACCATAGACTGGCCGCCGGAGGCTCCACTGCGTAGCAGGAGGAAACGACCCAGTGAAGCCAGGTGGGCGGCGCAGCTAGATCTCCTCGTGCAGGCTGCCCTGTAAGAAGGTGTCAAAGCATAAATGTGCTATATGTGTGTAGGCTGTAGTGGGGTAGCCAATATGGGGTACAACCCCAACTAGGGTTTCCTATTTGTACCCTTGCTTCTTTCAATCCAATCATTCTTGGCTAGTATTCTTGAGATGGTATTCAGAGCAGGAGGTCCCTAGGACCT